TCTCTAAATTATGAATTCTTTTGAAAAACAACCTCTAGAAAAAAAATAAATAAATAAAATCCTGGTACCACCTTTGTATGGAATTATTTTTCCAAAAATCCTTTAGTAACTTTTCGCACGTGAAAAATCTAAATACGGACGTACCACTTACTTTACTAAAAATAAAAGCGAAGGATTTTCTCAATGACTCTCTTTTAGTTCACAGTCAACCTCCTTTTGGATGGTGGGAAGAATGTTGGTTTAAAATTAAAATTTGTGCCTACAAAAAATTTACAAAAGGAAAAGATCTCTTCCTATTATAAAATCTGCCTTGGACAATTCCAAAGACTTAAACACTATCGTGATTTAAAGTTAACAAATCCTAATTAAACTCAATAGCATGCAATTTAAAATAAATTTACGACAAGAAGATGTACCCAAAATAAATTAAACATGTTCACTATTAAGTTAAAATGCTCTCTACTGATAAATTTAGAAATTAAACTACTGCAGAATTAGAGATTTTACCCTAATTAAAACTAAAACAAACATGAACAAGAATTAAACTAACATGCTTGAAGTAGAGAAGAAGCGTGAACGCCATATAAGTAATTATTGAAGAAATGCTATTTATCATAAATATTAAATTAATTGCAAACAGAAAAGGAACAGTACCTAGAAGAAATTTGAAAGATTGAAATTCATTACATAAAACGAAATTGTTGAAGCAAATACATGAATTAATTTGTCTACTGAAATGATGAAAAATAACCTAGATCTACTGAAAATTGTATTGAAATTCGAAATCTGAAAGTAATTACAAAGAAAATGAAAGTCTAAAATCTACAGGTGTTTGCGTAGAACTGGTCATGTGTTCTCTCTTCCAAATTTTCTCTTTTATTCTCCTTTTTCCGACTCTAACTCCCCACTTTCTGGAGTTACCAAATTGTGGGCAATTTTCTTGATGAAGTGGGACACCTCAGTAGTTAATAGGGTTAGATTACCTTCTAGATTTCGCCACATATCCCATTATCTCATAACCCATACCCATAACTGAAATCTTCTCTTATATTTTAGTCAAAACAGACCTAATTTAACTAAATAAGGTAATTAAAAAATAAAATCTTATTTTTTTAATTCCTTTCATCTAATGTGTCAGCTGATCTATCATGGATCCAGAATTACATATCTGACATGTTAAAACCTCATTCATCCATTTAAAAATATTTGACATGTGATATATATTAAATTTTTGCAATTTATGATGTAAAGAGGAACATTGTTATTTTTGTAATGAGCATGCATCTTTTACCAGGCTTTGAAAGCATGCGCTGCCTGATTCTCGGAAAAAAGGAGGAGCAGAAGAAGAAAAAGAAAAAGCGGCATGCTCGTGCCTTCATATGCGAAGTCAAATTCACATCAATCCAACTGTTGGCTGAGGTTGCCTTCTTCTACCTACTTCCCCTTTTGCAATATTGAAAAAAAATAAAAAATAAAAGGAAAGGGGGGGGGGGGGGAAGGAAAGTGGAAGGAAAGATCAGAATCAGAATGTGCATTTGCCCACGTGAAGCAGATGTGAAAATTTGTAGATGAATAGTGGTGTCCAGAAATGCAGTTATTCAACATAATCAAAGCAAACCCTGGAGGCCGGTGCCGGTAACAAACATTGAACCAGTGCTCTTCAATGGTGTGGTTCACCTATAATACCTGACTAATTTCTTCCTCCAACGCTCAACTGCCAACTTTCCCTCTTTCAAGTTCTTGATTTGTTTTAATAAATAAATTTAAAGATCTTTTTTTTTTTTCTATCCTCGTTGCATCCATCTCTTGTATCTTTTAGTTGCATTTTTTTGTAGGGCACGTAGTTTGCAAATTCTAATCCTAAGAATATGGGAGCTGAAGTTTGAATTGTTTATGGTTTTCCGCTTCTCCATTGCCTAGTCAAATTTTATGTTCTGTGTCGTAATTCGTCGTTAGATTAAAGGTAGCTTTAAGCATTTGAACCATTAAGTCGTTGAATTAAGTGGCTTAAATAAAATTAATTGCATTCTCAGGCGCATTCTTAGGAATTGTCACTATCTGTTGAAGAAATGGGTTGGTTCCTTTTTTATATTAACCCCAATACAACCTGAAAAGACTTCTATCAAGTTTTTACCGATTTCCTGTATGCAGATATGGACACGGCTGCAGAAGCTCAACTTCAAGGCCTCAAAATTCTTCATCTGGTATGTAAAATCATTCCCTGTCTTATTAAAGATTTCAAGATTTAATTGCTTGGCCTAAAAGCTTAAATCCCAAGAATACTATTGTAGTCAATTTAACAATTAAATCAAGGTATACAGTTTGATGCCGATCGCAAAAAAAAAAAAAAGAAAAAAAGAAGGTATACAATTTGATGAACTAACAAATATATGTGGGCTTTGGACAAAAAAAAACCAAATATATATCCAGGTGAGGCATGCACAAGGAACTCACAATGTAGCAGCAGAGGAGAATCGTGATGAACTCATGTCTTATGACCATTTGGATGCCCCGCTCTCCTGCTTAGGGCGGCAGCAGGTATTTCAATTTTCCCATATGATCTCAACTTCATTAACTGTTTTATTCTATGGGGGTTTTTTTTCTGACTCCAGAAATCAAATATGACTTTCTGGTGGTGTTTTAGCAGGTTTGTGATCTAAGAAAAGATGTTCATGAGCGCGGATTGTTCCAGAGGATTGAGTTAGTGATTACTTCCCCTATGACGAGGTATATCCAGTTTTCTCTCCCTCAGTTGTAATGCATCATCCCACATGTGGGTTATGCTTTTGGTTTCGGAAATTCCAGAGCACTTCAAACGGCAGTAGGAGTTTTTGGCAGAAAAGACCTTGCAGATGATGAGTTAGATGAAGAACAATCTACGGAGGACAGAGACAAAACTCAAAATGCAATATCATCAACTCTCAATTGCATTCCAATTCTAGCAGTTGAACTTTGTCGGGAAATGCTGGTATGCCTAATGACACCTTTATAATATTACGAAGAATAGTAAGGATTGTGTCTCTGTTTTTTTAAGATTCGGAATTTCAATTTTTTTATTTTCTCTTTAGGGTGTTCAACCATGTAATAAGAGGAGAAGCATCAGCAATTACAAGTCTCGGTTCCAAGCTGTGGATTTTTCATTGGCAAGTATTTCTTCAATTTTTTTTTATCAGAAAAAAAATCCAAATTTATTATAGAGAGTACAAGGGACTTCTTTCCATTCAAAAATACAATTCACAAACAATGACAAATACAAAAGTTGTACAAACCATAACCTTCAGACCTGGGATTTTTCTTTTGAAAAACAACTCTTTTTTTTCTCAGATAGAAAGTGAAGATGACAATCTGTGGACTGCTGATTACAGAGAAAGCAATGAAGAAGTTGCTGCCAGAGGAATTAAATTTTTTAAATGGTGACACTTCATTCCGAGTTCATATAAAATACCTGAAAACATATATTATCTTAGTTTAGTTTTCCTTGGATTAGAGAATTGGAATTCCTTTTTCTATAATTGTGTAGGCTATGGACAAGAAAAGAGAGGGAGATTGCAGTCGTTAGCCACGGCATATTCTTGCAGCAGACACTCATGGCACTTGGAGCCAAGTCTTACACACCAATGCCGAAAGATCTCCTTACACGGTGAGCTGCATTATTCTGAAAGAAAATTTGTTATTTAACTCTGTAAAACATGCTTATTTTATGTGATTAATTTGTGTGTAGATTTCGAAATTGTGAGCTTCGTTCAATTTCAATGTCAGTGACTTTTGTTGATGAGGGGTGAGTGTGTACTTTCTTTTTCTTTTCTTTTCTTTTTTTAATTAATTTTTAATTTTTAGGTAACATAGGTATTGGGACTTTTCATCAACTAATTTCATGGTTGTTATACCAAAAACCCAATCTCAAGTTACACATTGTCATGTGCACAAGTATTAGGTAAAATTCTACCTCTAAAGATAATGTGTATAATTCAATAAAATTATTTGTTTCTAAATAAGTAAATAAATGGTGTTATAAGAATAATTTTTTTATTTTATTTTTTTATACAACTTCCATATGTTATTAAATAAATAGATATATTTAATATTACAGGTTTCACATGAATTAAAAAAACTAATCATTTTAAT